TCAATTCTGAATTCGCGATTCCCCTTATTACGCTTTCGTAGCGCTTTGCATTGTGGTTATAGTGATATCACTGATATTCAAGATGGCTTATTTTTTGTCCTGACCAATGCAAGAACTTTTAAAAAAAGCTGGGGCCAGGTGCGCGATAGCCAACAGCAAAATATTCACACCAAGCCTCTGTGTATTTTGCTTTTGCCCTTAGTTTTTGAACTAACTCTACCTAATGAGCGTTACGCCACTGGATGCAACTACCTTGTGTCTCTGTCAAACTGACGTTTTACTGTAAGTTCTTCCTAGAAGTCCATGGACTTCCTTTATCGGTTCAGCGTTACTACTGGATGAAATAAAATACCTGGAGAAAGCTCCAGGTATTTTATTTGTGACGTGAAGTCAGTCACGTCATGATATTCTTAATAGTGAGCTTAAGCAAGTGACGTTTTTGACAACACGGACGGCATGAGTAACGTCAGAAGACTAGGTCAAGGGCTGTGATTGGTGAAAAACGTCAACTTTACTTCCGGTCGACGTCCGTGTTGTCAAAAACGTCACTTGCTTAAGCTCACTAATTTAAGACATTGCGTAATTATGCTGACTCATGTTTTTGCTATATTTATCGTGTTATGTAATATCTAAAAATAGTACGATGTAATGTTCTATTAATATCTTTCGAATAGTATATAAGCAGAGAAAGCTTAAGCTAGATAAGATAGATTGATATAGTTAAAGAGAATTAAAAAGAGATAGTAGTTGTTGGTGTTCAAGAAGAATAAATTGATATTATTGGATTTATTGTCGTCGAAAAGTTTATAAGACTTAGAAGAAGGATATTCCAAATACAAGAAAGCCTCCTTGGCCAGCGCGTGTCGCTGTGTCTGGTCAAGGAGGGCAACGATCGTAAAGATGGTAAAGATGCAAACACACATTTTTGTTCGTTCTCGCCCGCGAACGTAACATATTTCTCAGTAGTAACACTGAACCAGTAAAGGGAGTCCATTGACTTCTAGGAAGAACTTACAGTAAACTGATAGAGCTATCTAAATGTAATAAAGAAAAGTAAGCCAACAAACAAACACGACTTGTTAAAAACCAAGAATGTCTTTAAGGGTTTTCATTTGATGCCAGTGACCCATGCTCAGCACGCGAAAATTGCAGATACCCGACCATAACAGGCGAAGATTTTTTAATAAACTTTTGAAGACAATCAAAACCTTTTAGTACAAAACGTACCTCTCTCAGTTGATCAAACTGCGCCTGTCTGAACTCATCAAGTGTGTATGTTTTATTTTTCTCAACTTTACACAGTCCCATATCGCTGATACGATAGCACATTTCACGCACGTTTAGTAGTGCTGGACGGAGAGACTGCAAAGAAATAAGTGAGATTTGTTCACGAAGATTGTCATTGCTGCTGTATTCATTGCTATTTTTGCTATCACTTAGCGTTGGTGTTGCGTTGTTACTGCTTTTGTTTTGCGTTGTTGTAATGTGTTGAATGATGTTCCTGCATTCTTGTCATTATAGCTATTGTTTTTGTTGCATTGTGTTGCTGTTACGCTGTTGTTGTGTTGTGTTATATTTTAATTTCCCTGTTCTTGTCTTCGTTGTTGTAGCTTACTGAATCAGAAGCACAATTACCATATTTACGATGAAAAGATTATCCCTCAGTCTGTTTTTGCACGTTGAAATTTTCCTTGAAATAAACAACAGTCATGTATTAAATAAACATGAGCTTTTAATTCTTTTGACTACAATATTATATTATTTGGCATTGATGGTGATCCAGACTCAGTAACCACCCTTGGCCTATGGTGTTGTATGCAACACCTTTAAACCCATTGAATTGCATTGACCCTGTCTAACAGTAGACAATTTTACTTGTCAAAGCCAAACTAGGAAGAGGGCTGGCACTCAATAGGTTAAAGTGTAATCACCCACAGAGTATTTTTGAACATTTTAACTGGATCTAAAAGGTTCTGTCAAAAAAGACCTTGCATAAAACACATTCAGCAAACTTACTTGGTTCTGACATTTTTTCGCCAAACTGCAAAAGCTTTCCAAATACGGAATTTTTGAAACGTTTTTATTTGAATCATTTTTTTATAGTCTTCGTATTCCTTTGCCCATCTTTTGAGTGGAGTGAACTCTGCTTCGTTGTTCGAGACATGCGTCACACCTTCACTACTGATTGTGTAGTAATTGTCTGAATTCTTGATTTCTGAATGATTCACAATTCTACAAAAAATATTAACAACTCAGTAAGAAAACTTCAGATTGTTGGGGAGACCCAAAGGCCCTCGTTCACTGGCAAAGACTGTTCAAAATTATTAACAACAGACAATTCCAGCATTTTAGACTAATTTTTTATCTTGGCAAAAAAGTATATTCCCAGAAAGAGCATACTAAAATGAGTAAACTGATTGCAAAGTTTGCAAATTTTGTATATTTTTGTATTGCATGTGGAAATTACTACCACATTTGGGCCAAAAATTGTTAGCAATTTCCGCACGCAATACAAAAGTATACAAAATTTTGCAAACTTTGCAAGGCTATATTTTCCGCATTTTACAACATATTGCAACCAAACTTTGCAATTTTACTCATTTTTACTCTAGTTGTGGTGATTTATTTGCATTTCCTTGCCTAGTTTTAAAAGTAGTCTATAATGGGAATTGTCTATTCAGTACCGTATAGTTATCTTAATGATACCGTAGTAACAAACGTCAATGAAAATAGTGACTGACCAATTTTGCAACAACCGGAAATTACCGATTATTTGTGCCACAATCTGCCAGATACCGATGCCGATTTTATAACCGTCCATAGGATGTCAGTTGGATGGCCGCTTGGCTAAATGATTGCCTGACAGTAATGTGTACAAACCTTAAATTATAAGGGTTATATTCTATCGAGGATTTCTCCACAGCCGGGCTCATATAGAGGAAACCAATTTTTGGGTTGGATTGCACCATTTCAACAAATGTTAATGGATCTTGATTTTTTTTGGAAAATTCATCTTGTGGAGTCTCAAAAAAGGTAACAGTCCCTCGCTTCCCTGAGGATCGCTGGTCAAACATTCTCTGTTGCGCCAACAGGTTATCCGGTAAACTCGGTAAGGGGGACGTGGTTCGGGTGACTGGTTCAATGGGTGTTCTTTGACGAGGTTTCTTGTCAGGGACTTCTTCAGATTCCACTCTTCCATTAGTGGATGCCGTGCCTGGCTTGGGGGCATGTTTACGTTTCTGATATGCTCCTAGGTTGGGCTACAAGTGATACATATTATACCTCAAATTCAAATACAGGCTCAAATATTTTAACCCTTCAAGTGGCAATGCACCCAGATGCACCCTATCTTATCATTTTACTCTGTCTAATGCCAGACGATTTTACTCATCAGGAAGAGAGTGCTGCCACTCAATGGGTTAATCAGACTAATCTGCCCATGCACCCTGTTGACCGTTTAAGTGGCAATTATGTGCCCTACTTTATTATTTTACTCTGTCTAATGCCAGACGATTTTACTCGATCATCAGGAGGAAAGTGCTGCCACTTAATGGGTTAATTAAAGGGAAAATGCCAAAAACTCAGTTATAACTAAGAAATTAACCCATTGAGTAGCTTTGCACCCTGAAGTGCCCTACTTTATTGTTTTATTCTGTCTATAATACTAGATGATTTGGGCCCGGGATTTGGCAAAATATAACTTGAAGTTGATGATATTTATAAATATCATCACTGAGGGTACCAATATTTCACCAAATCCCCCCGGGTCTATAAATGATAAAAGTATATGTGTGATAATAGGTCATTCCTGAAAAGATACACACTCCCACTACAGAGGAATTTTTTGCAGTCCAGAGAAGGAAAATCCACTTTTTATAATACCATTATGTAGTAGGGGGAGGGGTCATTTCCTCTGTGGGGGAAGTATAGGTGTTTTGTGGGGTGACCTTGTGTAACTTTCTAGAGCATAAAAACAAGCATTAAAGATTGAAAAAACATACCAGTGGTTCTAGTGAACTCTATAAGAAGGAAAATATAAGATATGAAGGCCAGACAGCTAGTACGTATTACCATAGGTGCATGAGATACTGTAGCTCACCTTCTAATGAAAGGCCTTTGTGGCTTTGCATGAAATGTTTTTGTATTATGATAGCTTATTAACATTGTAAACTGCATATAGCATATGCGAAGTCATATGTGATATACCGGACCATCGAGTTAGACAAATAGAGTATTCCATACAAACCATACTTTATAAATACACATGCATACAGCCGTTTATAAATATAAATACATTTGAAATTTGTTCATATAATAACAATTTATAACTTTCACAATATATTATATTAACGCCTGTGTCATAACAGTACAAAATAAGATTAATAACAACGGAATAACAAGTCAAAACATTCACCTTGCGTCGCTGAGTTGCAGTGAGCCCTGAAAACTTGAGTGCTTTCGGATTCTGTTCCAGCTGTGGTTTCGCAATTAGGCGAGCTTTTAGCTTCGCTTCGTCAACACAAGGCAAGTTCATTTTCTGTTCAGCATGTCGACGAACGTTCGACACAGAATTGGCCATATTTATCGTGAAATTCTCACATCTTTTAACCTTTTTCTAACCATCTTTTGGCCGCCATGAAATTTAGCAAGGTAACTGTTGCCATGGAAATGGCGACAATTATACTGTGGCACTGACCTTATACATACTACTGGATGGTTCTTTTCAGTCTCGAAAAAAATGCACGAACTTTCACTTCAAAACAATGATTTCAAAAATACATAGCATGATTTTCGAAAAAGAAAGTCAATACGGAAAGAGAGGAGACAAATACCTCCAATAAAACAAAGAACCTTTCCGATTTACCTGTAAACAATTCATCTTCAATTTCATTTCATGACATTTTGAATTCAATTTCGTTTCATACATTTTTTCATTTTACACCTGTTCAGACTTCAGAAACGCCTTATTTACTAAAAGTACACAAAAAATAACGCAAACAATGACAACAAGCGGGGAAGTTAAAACTAAGGAGGAAAAACAAAAGGAAACAACACAAGTAAGCCAACTCACTTTTAGTTTGTTTTAAAAGACTTCATTCTAAACGAGCTATACGCCCGTATTCTAAAAGCTCACTCACACTCGATGACAATGAATGGAGGTTCAATCTGAGCTTCTCTTGAGTGTCAATGCCGTTTTTGAATAGCTGGAGGGTGAGTAGTCGCATAGTAAGGTATGACACTAGCCCTCCAGCTATTCAAAAACAGCATTGACACTCAAGAGAAGCTCAGATTAAACCTCCACTCATTGTCATCGAGTGTGAGTGAGCTTTTAGAATACGGGCGATAGACTTGGTTCAAATCGAGCTTTACTGCGTTTGGTGGAGTGATTATAAATACGATTTATTGATTTTATTTTCTTCGTTTTTCCAACAGGTCATCGGCGAAAGTGACGACTCCTTGTTTCATAGTGCCATTCATCCACCGAAACCTCGTCCGCGCAGCATCTTTAATACAAATAACACCATTCATCCACCAAAACCTCGTCCGCGCAGCATCTTCAATACAAATAACACCATTCATCCACCGAAACCCCGGCCGCGTAGCATCTTTGATAGAAATGTCGAACCAGATGCATTCCCTGCCACTACAGGTTAGAAGAAAGCCATGCACAATGACATAAAAAAATTACGGGTCATAAGGGAGGATTTGCACTAACAGAGAAACATTTCGTTGTCGAAATATTGACCATTGAATGTTGACTATCCGAATAAATCAGCCACAATTCAAAGATATTGAGCAAAAAAAGTCGACAGCAAAATTTTTCTTCATCGAAATTTTTCTTGAAAATGGATCCAGCTGACCAAATCTAGTCCCGCTGCAGTTAAAACAAATTAGTTATGCATGACATCTGAACAAGCAGAGGGAGCAAAAATCTGTTCAATCGTTAGTCCAACGATGCTGGATGAAAATTCCGACATTTCTTACATTACCGATGTTAATAAAAGTTGACTTGATCATGCCCCGATCATGCAGACCCATGGACAGCCTGTTTAATCCTGGCAAAAATCCTTACTTTTTCAGGTGAAGACAAAGACAGTACTCATTTGCCACCATCACCATTACTTGAGCACAGAATCAACAACGGCTATGCCTTAGTCATTCACAATAGATTTTTCCGACAACTGAATCCAAGAAGAGGTTCTGAGAAAGACATAGATGCTATAAAATTCTTCTGTGAACAAGCTGGCTTGACAATTGACATTCAGGAAAATCTTAAAGTGAACGATATCCGCGCCCATTGCCGGAAACTCAGGGAAGATAAAAATATATTTCGAAACTATGATGGTTTCGTCTGCTTTATACTTAGTCATGGTACAAGGTAAATATTTATTTATTTATACATTAATCGTTCCAAGTGTCTAGTGAAAATACAGTAAAATTAATTTAAGTTTAGGTTTTCTCCTGTGGTAACACTGCAGGGACCAATAAAAAAGACTCCTGTATTGGAGCTCTAGGGTGACCAGTTCAAAACTGATAAAGCTATCCAGTAGAAATGAAGATAGTTTAGTTTAGGTTTCCTCGTGTAGTAACACTGGATCAATAAGAGATAACTCTTACTGGACCTCTAGGAAGAACAGTTTAGAACTGATAGAGATGTCCAGTATAAATGAAGTTAGTTTAGTTTAAGTTTCCTCCTGTTGTAACACTGGATCAATAAGAGATCACATTCAATTTTATCCAAAATAAATGCAGTTAATTTAGTTAAACGTTGAACACTTGACAATGCACGACTCTAACGTTCGATGGCTCATGAATAGTTTTAAATATCTTTTATTAAATAGTTCTGGCATTTGTGGTGTCTACGATGATACAATAAGTGTAGAGGAAATTGTCTCGTATTTCAAAGAAAGTGTTGACCTTCTTGGAAAGCCAAAGCTGTTTTTCATCCAAGCATGCAGAATTGGCGAGCTCGAAGACGATAGTAATGAAATTGGTCACAAACAACGTTTATGCCCACCAGATTCCTCCGACATCCTGATCGCTCATTCAACCATCGACGGAGAATCATCATTCAGGAATATCCACAAAGGATCCTGGTTTATCCAGACATTAATGAAGCAGTTTCTGACGCATGCACAAAGCTTACATGTGATGGATATCATGACGGTAGTGAATGAAGATATAGCTGGCAGTGAATTAGAGGGCTATAGACAGATGCCAAATCAACTTTCAACTCTTACGAAGTTTGTGTATTTCAAGATGGCGGCGGTTGCTGAAGTTGTGCAGGCGAAAACCGATGAAGCAGAAGAAACATCTTTCCAGTGTGTGGTGGGATGACAAAGAAGGCAGGGCCGTCCTACAGGGGGTGTGGGGAACAAGGGCAAATAATGTTAGCCAATCAGCGCGTTTGTTTACATTTTGCGTTCTTGACCAATCAGAATGCCTGAAATTCGAAACATGTAAACAAAAGGAGTGAGAAAATAACACCTTGTTCTACGCCCTCGGTGACATTCGATATTAAACTTTTTTCGCCAAAACTGACAAATTCTG